AACAACCGAAAACATTTTCCTTATGGACGTATACGACCCCTCCCTCCAGCGACCAAATACGACCCACTTCGCCGGAAATCTCCACCGCAGGACGTGCCCTGCTTCGTACAGATCTCCTTATTCGTTTTGAGCTTTCAGTAGTTTGCTGTTTTACAGTTGTCACCCGCGGAAGGAGATACCATTCAGTTCAGTGAAATCGCCGCGAAGGAACACAAAATACATCGAGATCGACTCTGTTTCGTCCAGGTACTTACTTAAACAATTTGTGCTACTTCTCTAGGGCATTGTTTAGCTTGGAGGGGCACCGCTTGTTCCTTTCACCATTTTAAGCTGCTAATGGGACCGCTTTGGTGGGACTTGTAAACCCTTGTGAAGCTGCCATATGGTGCAGATGAGCAGCTCTGGTGGCAAGAGTCTACAAGCATTCACAAGCTGGCCTGGCCAAGCTTCGGCTATACGCCATTTGGTGCCGACCCCGAGCCTTAGCAACCGTTATCTGTATAGATGAATCACAGTTATCCGAAAGAGGAATTGGCGGCATGACTAGATAATCATAGGTTCTTTCGAGCCTTTTTCTATCAACTCTGCTGAGTGGAATGGAAGCATCTGAGAGGAAAGGAGCCCCACTCAAGCATGTTCGCACGAAATTGCAGATTCCAAGAAATGGAAGCAGGGGCAGCAGGTCCAACGAAACTCACTTAGGAGTTTTTATACCAACGTGCTATAAGTGAGAGATACCACCAAATGGTTCTTGTAGTTACAGTCTCCCATGGGACTACTACTGGGGACCTAGTGTTGTTCGCTGTAGATCCTGCGGCGTTTCAGGGAAGCTGGGTTTGGAGCGAGGCAGCTGTTCGCTACCAAATATGAGGGGTAAGCGAGAAGAACTGGATTGAAATTAGGGAGGCGCTGCGCTGACAACCCCCACTCTGATACTGCCCAGCAACCGATGAGACGGGGGGCGTACTGTGGCAGACTCCTTGCTGTTGGATGGAGTGGCAACGACGAGTGATTGTCTCAGTGCCATCCTCAACCACGTTGGGCTGCGGAATTAGTATAAGTTCGGCAATCGCAGACCATGGTACCTGCAGGTGAGGGTTCTACCTAAAGGAAGAACCCCTCCACCATCATCACTTTGCCTTTAAGGGCTCAGCCGCCCTATAAAAAATGTTTGTTGATTCCGCAAGTAAATTACCCTTCACAATGGCAACGGTATTAGGGGGACGAATCCGAAATGTAGAAACGGCAAAAATCAAAAAGACAGCCATTAGCTGATTTACTAGTTAAAACTTTAGTTCACTGTATTCATTAATTTGTTTTTATTTACATTTATGAATTGCTGATCTCATCTGTATTTCAGTACATCTCTGGACATGTTCAAGCAAGTACAGCGAAAGTTACCGGAATCACTATCGCATGATAGCAAGAAGAAAACTTCCCTAGATGTTCCTCATCGTTATAACGACTACCTGCATCCGAAATACTCATTACCGCCCGTGAAAATCGACATCGAAGATGTGCAGGTAATAGTTGACTATTCAGTAGTAGAGCTTGAGCGGAGAAACTGTCGGAGGTCTTAAGTTGTATGAGCTTATACAGTTGGTTTTGTCGCAGTCCAGCGAGGTGGCGTCATGAGGCGTGGAACGAGCCCAT